TCAGTTCACGAGCTTTTGACTGATGGCTGTACGTAGTTTCCAACGCAAGCCAAACATCACGTGCAGTAGAGAGACCAACGACAACAGCCATGGCTTCCTCAGTGAGAGAGGAGAGCAGGAGACAGAGAAGTCGTTGATCGGCTGCTCTCCATGCCAAATATTTGGGGTTGAATGTTGAGGAGGTTTCTGGTTCAAAGCGAGGTGGTGGAACCATAGTTCCATCGACATAGCCCAGCATGTCTTGACTCTCAAGAAGAGGGAGAAGTTGGCTTTTCCAAAGAAGATAATTGGAGGAAGAAAGTTTGATGGTGATCATATGGATTAGAGTATTGAAAGGAAGAAGATGATAACAAGATTCGGAAGCCATAGAGAAGAAAGGATCAGGGTTGTTAAACCGAAAGGGCTCTGATACCATGTGAATGTTTGATTAATCCACCACACCCAAATGGTGGTGAGAGTTCTCTTATTTATAATCATTTACAGAATACAGAAATAAGGTAAATTACAAATAATAAGGAAATAGCGATAAAAGGAAAGAATAATAAATGAATACAATATATTTGCATTTAGTAAAAGAGAAAATATGGTAACCCGTAATGTAAGGCAAATATCTAGATATTTGCCTTAATGAACGGTCAACTATCCTTAACAACTCCAAAGGAGTCGAGCCTCGATTAAGGGGAGGCGTGCTTTGTTCGAGGGGAGGTGTTGGATGATGAAAGTCGGTTTATAAGTGAGGAATACTAACTCCATTGGCATGAGGCCTTTTGGGGAAGCTCAAAGCAAAGCCATGAGAGCTTGTGCTCAAAGTGGACAATATCATACCATTGTGGAGAGTCGTGTTCGTCTAACAATGAACATTCATTACAAACATTTTCAGGTTGTTCGGGTTGATAAAAAAAAAAAATATATACAAAAGGGAACGTGCAAACCAACACGAATTATTGGTTTTCAAAAATTCGACCCAACCCAAATCGAAAATTAGATCACTCGAGTTGATCTAGTTTTTGGATTATGTGAACATCCTTACGGTTAAGGGAGTGCATCGAAGATATACACAAAATAATTAATTTTACGTGAATTATGAAAAAAATTATAAGTTTATTGGTCGTTTATATTTATTTGATTATTAAACTTCTAAAAATATATTAATAAATTTTTAGAAATTAATCAATTTATTTATTAAATTTAAATTTAAATTTTGTGTAATATTTAAATATGGACAAAAATAATAATTTAATATTTATTGTTGCAATAAGGTTCCAAAAAAGACGTACTTCTTTGCATCGATTTTCATTTAGTTGTGGGCCAACATATACGAGAACCACCTACCACCGGTGGTGGCCCCAGCACGTGCAAATCACACTTTATAGCACGTGCGAAGAATCTTTTGTCTTCCAAATTTTATTTTATATTATTTGTTTTGTGGAATCTACCCACTAATTTTCAAAATAATATTTAGGTAACTATATTCCAATAAATTTTATTTTATTAATTATAAACTTCAATTATTAGAAATTCAAAATTATAATATTTTGGTTATGATAGGGTGTCTTTAATTACTGACCGTGTTAATTTTTTTTATTAAATTTAATAATTTAATAAAAATCGGCTTCTGTATAACCTTCTCGATATGTAATAACTACAAACAAAAGACTTTCTAGTTCTATTAGCTTTTGAAATATTTTGAACTTTTTAAAATATTTTTTATTTTTTTTAAGGGTATTATTTAGAATTTTTTTAAATTAAAAATTATTTTTTTATTAATTTAACTCATTTTAATCTCTAGGTAAAAAAGTGGAATTACCCAACAAGAGGAGAGGGGGGATAAAAGCAAGTCAAAAGAAGGGGTAGTTGGGTAGGGGTAGAATTGTCAATTCAACTAATGAAAAATCTAGCTCAATAGCCGGCTGGTTTAGAATCATGCTAATGCATAATGCTCATTAATCGCTATAAAAAATATTTAAAAATGTTGGGAGCTTTATAAAATAAAAATATATTAATTTATCAAATTATAAATGAAAATAAAATATTATTTCTAAAATATTGAGTTTGCTTTTTATTCTAATTTTTATTTTTTATTTTCATAGTCTCAATTAAATCAGGGTAGTATTTTAGTCTTCTAATTTAATTTATAATTAACATATAATAATAAATAATAATAATAATAATAATAATAATAATTTCCATTAAAGAAAAATACACGCAATACATATATTTTCATTATAGAGCGTATTTTGTTATATTCTCCAACCAATGTGGGACTGTCACCAAACCCACCCCTTTAGGTCCCAACGTCCTTACTATTAGCACACCGCTTCGTGTCTATCCTCCTTCAGAAAACAACGAGAAGGTTGGTACATTTTTGGTGTTTGGCTCTGATACCATTGTAACGATCTAGGCCCACTGCTAGCAGATATTATTCTTTGGTCTTTTCCTCAAGACTTTAAAACGCGTCTATTAGAGGAAGATTTCCACCTCAAGACTTTAAAACACGTCTAGTAGACTTTGATACCATTTACAACAGTCAAAGCTCGTCACTAGTATATATTGTCTGCTTTGGTCTGTTACGTATTTCTATCAGTCTCACGATTTTAAAATGTATTTACTATAGAGAGGTTTCCATACTCTTATAAGAAGGGTTTCGTTCTCCTCTTTAACCGATGTGAAATCTCACACTATTAAATACAAAATTTAAATTTATATCAGAACTTTTCATAAGCATATTAGATTAGAGACATTATTAAAAGTTTAAGGACTAAATAGACACAAACAAAAAAGAAAAAGGAGGGATGAGCAAGAGCACACCGGTGTTTTAAATCGATGGTAGGTAGCTAAAAGAACTCGAGTCTGTGACCACAAATTCTGAACAGTTCCTTACACCAACGAGATTCCGGTCCCTACAAAATGCAACAATGTCAAAAGAATAATGGTTAGAAGGTGTATACGTACTTTCAAAATTAGTTGGGGTAAAACCCGCCAAGACACCTACATACGTATCTTAAAGAATTGTATACGAATTAACGGTCGGCGATGAGGAAGGAGAAGACAAAAACATGCATTCCTTAGTGGTTTAGCTAATTGGAAAACTTCCTCCAAAGATCGACTTGGATATGACCTATCATTCAATGTTATAGATGATTGAGTTTGATTTATAAAATGTGTCGGGATTGAAAACATGTTGAACATTGAATGATAAATTGTTTAGTTATGTAGTTTACTATACCTTGCCTATTATTATGATTATATTCCCGCTTCCGTAGTAGATAAGACAACCAAATTTACCAAAAAATTGACAAGTTCTCTCAGTACTTCTACAATCAAGTAAATTTCCAGCAAAATCCGCATCAAAACATCCTACCAATTTAAAAACAACATTTATAGGAAAATATTGGGTCTATTAGCGGTTAAAGAAAGTAAAGATTCAATCATATCTCGAAAAGATTTAATATCCACACATTTACCTTTTTTATCATTGTCATGCTTAGTGGACGTGCTCGTGAGAGTTTTTGCAATCTTATTTTCACTGAACTTGAATCTTTTGAGTAAATCCGTAATTTATTTCTCTTGATTTATGAAGATATCATCTTTGAGTTGTTTGAAGTCAGTAAGAAACTAAGCTCTCCAATCATACTCATCTCAAACTCATTAGATATACATTTAGAAAATTTAAAAAAGGATTAGATATGATATTAACTCCCTATAACCGAGCTTGTTTTAAGCTATAATTATGGCATGATGTAGAAGCAAAATTATTAAATAAATTAATAAAAGAACGAGTTTTCACGCCTTGTTCGATACTACCAATAATCGAGTCCTTAAGATGAGATAAGACATACCTCGAGAAGAATCCTTCAATTACTATTTGAGATGGCATCGTCGCCACCGATCGGAGCTTGGCGCACCACGTGAGAATCGTCGTCGTCGACGCCGTCGTCCTTTAATGGCGAAAGGGAACTTTTCAGAGAGAGAAAGAAAACTACGCTTGGCGAATTGGTGTTGGCACCTTTCCACACTTTTTCACGAATTTGGGCCGAATTTGTAGCTGAGGCCCAATTACAATTGGGCCGCTCTACCCATAGTCGCGGTTCCTTCGTTAAATTAAATAATATTTAAATTAGATGAGATATTTATTACCATTACATTTAAATAATATTTATTAAAAAAAAATGATAACACAACTCGATTTTATATAACTTCGAAATGAAATTTAATTTAGATGAGATATCGATCCTAGCCAAGTTTGAACTTAAAGGGACTGAGCTACTAGACTCGAAACATAATTTTCATGGTCGTTCGTCTAACATGGTATCAGAGTCATACCTTAAAATTAGTCATGTCAATAGAATTCTTAAATGTCGAACAAAAGACTTCAAAAGAAAAAGAAGTCAAATACTTCAAAAGAAATAGAGTCGAGTCTCAACTAAGCGGAGACATACTTTATTCGAGGGGAGGTGTTGGATGAAAGTCCCACTGCTAATTTAAGGGATGTTTATGCGTTTATAATCAATGAATACTCTCTTTATTGGTATGAGGCATTTTGGGAAACCCTAGAGTAGAGTGATGAAAGCTTATGCTCAAAGTAGACAACATCATATCATTATTGTGAAGAGTCGTGTTCTCGCGGGACTAGCCCGCAGTCTCGGCCGAAAAATCAGGCTGACCGAAGAAATGATTAAAGGACATCTTTCCGTTTGGGCAGTACGGGCACCTTTTGTTTACAAAATTGAAAAATGAATTTACTTTTGCATCATACCCATGCGCCACGTGACTCCAGGAATATTCCTTTAACCGCGTACGCCGGTCGAATAACCCACGCTGGCATCCACGTGGCATGTGGAAACTACTCTCTACATTGCTTCCATAGTGAGCCTGTCTCTCCCTCGTGAAGTTCGCATTCTCCTCCGTCCAATTTAAGATGAAGATGAATCGGACGGCTAGTAGCCGTCGAGAGCATTGTTAAGAAAAGAGAATCGGCGCTTTGTATATTCTAATTTTCTATTTGGATTTAGTGATACCTTCATATTCGTCGCCGTCCTTCGCTCCATTTGCTTCCTCTCTCCCCCGCCATTGATGATTTCCTGCACTGTCTTTGTTTCTGATTGAAATCGAGTGTGTTTTGTCGTGTTGAATTCTTCTTCTTCGGCTATGTGATTCGGTGAACATCTTTGAGTTGAAGTGTACTTTGTATGGATTAATGCAAGTATTTTGTGTTTGGGAAGAGGATCGAGGGGTATAATCAGTGAACAAAGCCTCGAGGTCATTGATGTTTAATGCGTGATTGGATTGGAGATTCCTGTTTGTAGATCGAGGAGTCATTTGTCAGCCTTCTGGTGATTGATTTTGGATTTGTTTCCGATTGAAGTCGAGTGGTGTTTTTGTATTAAATTCGTCGGCCTTTAATTTGAAGTGTGATTGGATTGAATGTATCTGTGTTGGGATGAAGAACGAGGATTATTAATCAGGAAGAAGAAGAATGATGAATTTTCGATGAATGGAATTTTCTACTCGGTCGAGAATGGAGCGGAACTATCCGTATGAGAATGGAGTGATGATGACGAGAGACACGAAGCCAAGACTGAGATGGACAGCTGATCTTCACGACCGTTTTGTAGACGCGGTCACCAAGCTTGGTGGCCCTGAAAGTAAGCTCATGTTCATCATTCTTACAGTTTCGTTAATGTATTTGCAGCATTTCTTGTATCCTTTTGAATGATGATTTTGAACGTTAATAGCATCGTGTTTTTTTAGTCAAATATTTGTTGAACTTGTTCTTTAATCTTCTATTGCTGAGACTTAGATATAATCGATTTTCTAGGCGAGTCCTTCCAACAGTATCGGATATAAATATCTGATTATCGTTATGGGAAATGAAGTAGTGATTAGATTATGTTGATGGGTAATTTAAATTCATTTAGTCATTTTCTTCTTGATTGAGCTCCTGCGATGAATTATATAATTAATTTTTAGATCAGTATTCTCATTTAGATGCTGTCAATAGCAATGTTGCGGTCTAACTGCTAGTCGGTAGTTCCTTTTCCTTTTGTCCCTTCTCCAGTTCCCAACTGGGAATGAAGTTCGTGCTAGGAACCACGAATCTCCACAATGGTATGATATTGTGCATTTTAACCATAAGTTCTCATGGCTTTGCTTTTGATTTTCTCAAAAGGCCTCATGTATTCCTTGCATATAAACCTATGATAATCTCCTTAATTATCCAATGTGCCAATGTGGCACTCCCCCCAACAATCCTCCCCTCAAACAAAGTACAACATAGAGTCTATCGAGAGGCATATGTAGCCCTCGAACAGCCTACCCATAATTGAGGCTTGACTCATTTCTTTGGAGCCCTCGAACAAAGTACACCGTTTGTTCGACACTTGAGTCACTTTTTGACTACACCCTCGAGGCTAGCAATTTTTTTTGTTCGACACTTGAGGATTCTATTGACATGGCTAAGTTAAAGGCATGACTTTGATACCATGTTAGGAACCACGAATCTCCCCAGTGGTATGACGTTGTCCACTTTCACCATAAGCTCTCATGGCTTTGCTTTTGGTTTTCCCAAAATGCCTCATGCCGATGGAGATGTATTCCTTATAAATCCTTGATCATCTCCTTAATTAGCTAATGTGGGACTCCCTTCCAACAATCCTCAACCGTTCAAAGGGAAAAGCTGTGACCGATTCCCTAAGTACTTTTCTATACACTCACATCTATTCATGAGACGTGAGAAATTGATAGTTGATTTTAGCTGTCGAATTAAGAAATATAACCTTACGTAAATTGCAGGCTTCAAACTTGTAATATCTATAGCTAGCCTATATATCTGAGCTTTCTTTTTCCCTCCAATCAATGAATTATAATAATTTAAGCTACTTGAGGGGGACTGTCTTTTTCAGAAGCAACTCCCAAGTCTGTGTTAAGATTGATGGGTTTAAAGGGCTTGACTTTGTACCACTTGAAGAGTCATTTACAGGTAAATGTCGAAATCATTGCTTCATGATATTTCATTTGTCTTGTCACTGATTGGATAGGAATGAAGTATTAACACAACTTTCTGAACCTCAGAAGTATAGACTTGGACTGCAAACTCGAAAGCAAAATGTGGCTGAGCAAAGGAATCAAAGTAGTGGTAAGTCTATCTAGACATAGGACAATATGTAGGATCATAAGAACCTCTCATTGGTTGCATTTGCCAATTTCCCTAAGGATGGTGTGAATTTCTCGAGTTTATTTTATTAGTATTCGTGTACTTGTTTTTTTAGGTAGGCCAAACAACTCGACTAGTATTTTTTTATTTTGATATTCTTTAAGGATCCAAAGTTACTTATCAATTAGTTTGTTATTCTTCTGAGCGTTCATACTTTACTATTCACCATCTGATTTTAATTCGTATATTCCTCTTGTTTGCATATCGGTGTTCAACTCTAGGAAGCTCATTTATACGTCTCAATATTAACTTTTTCAGGGACTCTGAGCAACTTCATTGGAGTTGAGGACGATGAGAGGTTTGTCTTTTTGTATCTCATCAAAATAAAATGCTCTTCTTTATGTTCAAACCTTCTCTGTTTTACTGTCATTCCAATGTCTTCAATGGTATTTTGCAAACATATAAATTAGCATAATAATGATTTTCTGATTCTCTCATGATTGACACTAAACTTAAATCGGTAAGAAAATCTAAGCTTCTTGTTAAGTAAGGGTTTTTTAGCCGTTTCAAGTGTTGAAGATTGTTGGGAGGGAGTCCCAGATTGGCAAATTAAGGAGATGATCATGAGTTTATAAGTAAAAAATACATCTCCAATGGTATGAGGCGTTTTGGGGAAGCCAAAAGCAAAGTCAAAGAGCTTATGCTCAAAGTAGATAATATTATATCACTGTGGAGGTCCATGGTTCCTAACGTGAAGTTCTCCAACTAGGTAGAATTAAGATAAAAAGAACAAAAGGAGTCAAACATCCTTGACAGTGTGATTATCTATTGCATTATAGTATCCCATTTTATATTTAACTTTTCAATGCACCTTAATATTAGCTATTGGTCTAACTTAAACAGAGGGATGAAAATTGCTGAGGCACTAAAATCACATGTTGATGTGCAGAAAATAATACTAGAACAACTTGAGGTACATCTTGCTTAATTCTTCTAACTACAACAAATTCAGTCCCAAGTTTATGATCGCTTTTTATTTTGTTGGCTATTGGAAAGACAGGTACAAAATAAACTACAAATGAGAATAGAAGCTCAAGGAAAATACTTGCAAGATATCTTAGAGAAAGCACAAAAGAGTCTGGCACTTGCCATTAACAGTGACCTTGGTAGTCTTGAAAGCACAGGAATGCAGCTATTAGGCTTTGACGTGGCTCTGTCAGATCAAATGGAAAAAAGTAAGAAACAAGAAATGAGAGGAAGCATGACGACTGTAAACGATACTTGTAAGAAGACGGGCGACTCACCCATCCAGATGTGCAAAGTGGAAGCTGGAGAAGAAGCCACAAACGAGTTTAATGTTGAAAGGAATATGATCAACTTTGATTTGAATTCAAAAGGTGGCTATGATTACAGTTCGAATGGGGCTGAAGTACTTGAGGCCAATGTGCTTCCTTGCTCGAGGTAATACTCATGCCATAAAATACATACTTCATTACCTGTAATCGTAGATTATTTTTGGGCGGGAGCAAGAACTTCCATTTTTTCTCATTCAATATATTCATGCCCCATGTCCTGAAATTCCGAGTTTTTTTTTCTGTCACAAATATGTTAGTTCTCCTATTCTGTTTTAAACTTTCTTATAGTAACAGTTTAGAATGAGGTAAATGATAAAAGATGCTATGGTTGTTGCAATTTAGTTGAAATTACTTTGTGCATTTGTGCCTATTAGACTTGATCCATCTTACAATATCATCACTAGTCCAATAGGATCAAACCCAATAATGGTATGAACTCATTGTATATTCAATTTTAGAAAAATGATTTAGGTATCTTGACCATACTAGACTAGTGATGATATTTTAACATTCCATATCAAAACGGCTAATTATTCATTATATAGGGGATAACGTAATCAATCTTTCTTTAGAATTGATTAGCATGAAGAGATGAATCAAATACTAGTATCCTAGACATGCTTTAGGGATTAGGGCCTATTTGGAATGAAACCTTTTTTTTGTCATTAAAAATCATTCCACACATGACATTAATCTTTCCCAATGGAATAATATCTCATTAAGAAAGTCGATGGAAAGGAAACCGAAACCGAAGTTAGAATGGAAAGGAACTAAATTTGACATTGTAAAGTTTTAGTACAAATACTGGGAATCAAACTGAACAAAACAGGTAAAGAAATTAACATCTGTGTTGGTTTGCTTTGTATTGCATGTATTCTGATTATGCTAACTTGGTAGATAACTTCACAACCTTTTCTTTGCTGTCCTCATGAAAACATCTTCAGGTAATCAACCATGCCAGTGTCGATCATTTCAGGATACAGCTTTTGAAGCTTCTTATCCTCCACCTATTTCGAAGTTTGTCGAGCAACATTCAAAGAATCTATGGTAAGTTCATACCCTCTTCTTCTGCATATGCCACTTCCCTTCGTTCATATGAAGGAAGAGTTTATATCGACATATTTGGTTTGGTAATGATCCTTGTTTTAAGGCCGAGTTTTTTTTTATTAAGCTCACTCGACGAATTCGAAATTTGAACTAGAGACTGGTTGTAACGGCCTAACCCACTGCTAGCCGATATTATCATATTTGGGTTTTCCCTTTCTGACTTCCCCTCAAGGATTTTAAAACGTGTCGGCTAAGGAGAGATTTTCACACCCTTTTCTTCTCCTCCTCCATCAACGTGGAATCTCACATTGTAGTAGGCCTTAGCTAAAGGTATTGTTCCTTGGGAACTCATGTCCGTTATTGAACTTGCCTACTAACTGATCGGTACAGTAGGTAAATATATTATCCATCGATAAGTAAGTCATGAAGTAATGGATTGAATCCAAATCCAAATATTTTTTCTTAATAAGTTCACTCGACGAATTCGAAATTTCAACTAGAGACTATATGTAATGGTTCAAGCATATCACTAGTAGATATTGTCGTCTTGGGACTTTCCCTTTTGGATTTTTCTTCAAGGATTCTAAATCGCACAAGGAAGAATGTTTCGTTTTTCTCCCAAACCGATAGTGGAATCTCACTGAGCCATAGTTAAAGGAATTGCTCTTTAGAAACACGTTAGACTAACATAGTAGGTAGTATATCATCCATAGAGAAGTAAGTCATGAAGTAACGGATTAAATCCAAATCCAAATATTTTTGGCACGACATTTAGTAAGAAAAAAAAAGAAAAAAAAAGAAATTAACAGTATTTTCATTTTGCATATAAAGTTGATAATTATTAAAGTGCTCATAAGAAAATCTTGAGATAGTCATCCATGCGAGTGTAGTTCACTTCTGGATAAAGCCTTGAAGCTTCTTCTTCTCCTTCTCCTATTTCAAAATTTGTCAAACAACCTTCAAAGAATAAGTGATAGAAATGTCCCACTCCAGCCTGCTGTGCTATGTCCAGATCTGCATCAATATTATACTTTTATTTTTTATTTTTTTTGAATACAGGCCACCCGTTGAGACTTTCCTTCAAGGTTTTTAAAACATTTCTACTAGGGAGAGGTTTCCACACTCTTATAAAAGGTGTTTTGCTCTCCTTCCCAACTGATGTGGGACATCACAATCCACTCGGGGCCCAGCATCCTTACTAGGAGAGGTTTCCACACCCTTATAAAAGGTGTTTTGGGACATCACAATCCACCCCCTTCGGGGCCCAGCATCCTTACTAGGAGAGGTTTTCACACCCTTATAAAGGGTGTTTTGGGACATCACAATCCACCCCTTCGAGGCTCAGCATCCTTACTAGGAGAGGTTTCCACACCCTTATAAAGGGTGTTTCGGGACATCACAATCCACCCCTTTCGGGGCCCAGCATCCTTACTAGGAGAGGTTTCCACCCCCTTATAAAGGGTGTTTCGCTCTCCTCCCCAACCGATGTGGGACATCACAATCTGGAGCCCAACATCCTTACTGGGAGAGGTTTCCACACCCTTATAAAGGATGTTTCGCTCTCCTCCCCAAACAATGTGGGACATCACAATCCACCCCCTTCGGGTCCAACATCCTTACAGACACACCGCCTCGTGTCTATCCCCTTCAGGGAACAGCCTCCTCGCTGGCAATCATTTGGTGTCTGGCTCTGATACCATTTGTAACAGCTCAGGCCCACCCCTAACAGATATGGTCCTGTTTAGGCTTTCTCTCAAGGTTTTTTAAAATGCCTATGTTAGTGAAAGATTTCCACATCCCTTACAAAGGGTGTTTCGTTCTCCTTTCCAATCGAAGTGGACATCACATTTTCATTATATATAAAATTTGAGTGTTATATATATATATATAAAACTTTACCTTTCATCCTTGCAAGAAAATCTTGAGCAGAAACACGGTTCTTTTCTAATACTTTTCCAGAAAGTGCTTCCCATTTCTGAATCAGTTCTCTTTGGGAGAGAATGTTGTCTGGAGGCCTAATATACACTGTTTTGTTCATAGTTCGAGGATCTGTTGCTGCCTTCACGATGTACGTTGCAATATCATCTTCGTCCACGTATACCACTGTAAATTTTGCCATAATATTATTTATATTTCAATTAAGATGTCTACAAAATGGAGTGGGGACGAGATCAATCCTCGTTCTTATAAAATTTCTCACCCTCGTTCTTATAAAATTTCTCACTTATTTTCATGGAGACTGAAATCGAGATTCTCCCCTTGGAATTTGTAAGGATTGGGGTAGGTAGGGTGGGAATGGCGACATGAAATAACAGTTTAGCTAATAGAGAGAAATCTCTCTCCGGTCTCTCTCCGGTCTCTCTCTCTCATTCTTCATCATATATAGAATGGAACTCTTGAATTAAATGAATATCTCTGTATTTAAACAACATTATTCTTTAACCATATATCATTGACCAAAACGTTAAAAGTTTGACCACCAACCTCACTAACAACTAGTATTGAAAAATAAATAGAGTAGCTTTGAGTTCGAGTTCGAGTTTGTATTAAGAATAATTGGTGGTGGGTTACCTTTAACGTTGCCATCTCCATAAAGGGTAACTTGATGAGTGGGAGGAACAAGACTTTGCATCTGAGACAGGCTACCGGCAAAGTAACCGGCAAAGCAGTTGGCTGAGACGTAGGTGAAAGGAATGTTGGCTTCCTCTATTGCTTTTCTTATTGTCATTTTTTGATCAAATGTTTCTCTTCCCGGTTCGAGTGCATCTCTCATTCTTGCTGGGTCTATTCCGTACTCTGATGGTAAGAATCTCTGTATCGAGAATTTCGATAATTTAGTCGGTTCGTTTATGTTAAATTACTAATCAACCTAAAAGATAAAGCAGATTGAGTCTCGAGAAATTTTATTGTAGGTTAAGATTAGCTTATGAAATATAAAGTTTGTGGTAAAAAATGTGTTTAATACTTGATATATTTTTTTTAATTTGAATTAAAAAATAGGGTGACTAGTGTTCAGTTAGAAATACTCTTTTTTTGGACAAAGCTAAAATTTCAGGTTTGTTGGATTGGTGTCCGTATCAATCCAAATATAGTAGGATCAAAGTTGGATTGAGTTGTAACTCTAACAACCCAAGCCTTTGTTCCGTTGTATCATTGTTAGTTTTACGATTTTAAAACAAGTCGTTTACTAGGTTGAGGTTTCCACACCCTTATAAGAAATGTTTCGTTCTCCTTTCCAACCGATGTAGGATCTCACAATCCACCCCTTTAGATCCCAGCATCCTTACTGGTACTCTGCCTAGTGTCAACTCTGATTCCATTTATAACAGCCAAAGTCAGCTGCTAGTAGATATTGTCCGGTTTTGCCCGTTACATATCGTCATCAACCTCACGGTTTTATAACGCGTCTAGGTCTACTAGGTTGAGGTTTTCACACCCTTATAAGGAATGTTTCGTTCTCCTCTTTAACTGACGTGGGATTTCATAATCCACCCCTTGGGGGTCCCAGCATCCTCGCTGGTACTCCTAGTGTCTAGCTCTGATACCATTTGTAACAGCCAAAGTCAACCGCTAGTAGATATTATCCAGTTTGGCCCCATACGTATCGTCATCAACCTCATGGTTTTAAACCGTATGTAGGTCTACTAGACAGAAGTTTCCACACCCTTATAAAGACTGTTTCGTTCCCCTCTCCAAATAATGCGGGATCTCACAATCCACTCCCTAGAGGGCCAACGTTCTCGCTGATACACCACTCAGTGTCTTGACTTTTATACCATTTGTAACAGCCAAAGCCAAAATCCTACACGTAAATTCCCATCCTATGAATATGAACAGCAAAGTGGAAGAAGGTAAGAAAGAAAACCTTGACATTGCCAGCAACTTGAATGGCTTCAACAAGCTTGAGTTGGAGGAGAAGGTTATGTGACCTGAAATGGACGCCGGACATGGCCGATATCACGACGTCGACTCGCTTCACCGCGTCGACAAGGCTCTGAAAGTCCGAGAAAGAGGCAGGCACAAGAACCGCCCCCTGTCTCTTAAAGGAGAGCAGGAGCTGAAGCTTCTCAATGTCGAGCCCAATCTCAGGCCGTTGAACCACATACGTCTGGTGCCCCTCCAAAAGGCTGGCCTTGACGATCCTCTTCCCCAAATAACCAGTCCCACCAACCACAAGAACCTTCATCTTTCCTTTACGTCTTCCAATTAAACCCACCTTCTCCCTTTATAGCCTTCAAACTCTCTCTTGCTTCGCTTGCAATTCAAAATTGGAGCTTTTTTCCAACCACTCTCATTCTTTTAAGAGTAATGTTAGGTCTACAAAGCTCTTTATATGGGTGTGAAAACCTCTTCTTAACATATCGTTTTAAAAATCTTGAGAGAAAGCTCGGAACGGAAAACCCAAATGGTATCAGAGCTAGACATCAGGTAATGTGCCAGCAAGGAGGCTGAGCCCTGAAAGGGGTGAACACGAGATGATGTGCCAATAAGGACGTTAGGCCTTGAAGGAGAGTAGATTGTAGAGTCTCACATCGGTTGTAGAAGAAAACGAAACATTGTTTATAAGGGATGGAGCTAGAGAAATTTTTCTCTATTAGCTAAATGGGACAATGAATAAATATTATATCCGTCTTCAACCTTATCTAAATTCCTAAGCTACCCCTAAAAATGGAAATTATTCATTAAATTTCTAATAAATATATTTTAAAAAATATATAAAAATTAAAAAATTTATCTACCAAGATTGAAATAGATGTTAGTATATAAAATTTTAAAAAATAAAAAAAAAATTAGAAAAAAAAAATAAATATATAAAAAGGAATAGGTAAATTAATTACCTAATCTTATTATATTTGAATAATTAATTTTAGAAACCTTTTCAAATACCAAATTTCTTTGACCAGAAACAAATAGCATAACTAATAATGAAATTAATCCTTATTTATTTAGTTATTAAATTTTAATTTAGTTTGGTCACCTAACATTCTCTACAAATAACAACTATTGAAAATAATAATAATAATAATAAATAAATAAATAAATAAATAAATATATATATATTTTAATACATTAATTTTGGGAATGGAATATTGAGATGGCTTGCACTTGAGTTTTGCTTATTTCTTTATTTATCCCAACAACTACACAAACATTTATTTATTTATTTATTTATTTTTCTTCTATTTTCACTCTTTTTAAAATATTCTTCAAATAAAACAAATTAATTAAATTTTTCTTAAATTTTTTTGAGCGAAAATCTTATTTAAATCATTATCGATTAATTATAAATTAATTAAGCGAATTTAAATATAACTTTAGTTAAAATGTCACATATATAAAAACAAATGTGAGAACAATATCAACACTGACATTTTAACTTAATTAGTGTGAGTCCTGTGATTTGTTTCGTACGTCCTTATCATTATTTAAAAAACAAAATTATTAGGGTTAAATATGTCATTTTTTATTTATTAATTTCATCTCAAATATATTAAAAAAATAAGGTAGGTAGGTGAATTAAAGTCTATATCTTAACAACCTTACTAATTTTTCAATATATTTGACTTTGCAATCATTTTTTTTTTTTTTTGTCCACTAAAAAAGTATCCAATCATTTAAAAGCAAAGTGTTCGATAAAATAAATAAATAAATAAAAAGGGTAATTTTTAAAACAAAAATTAATAATATTTATTATTTAAAACTAAATTTAAACGTATTTTTATAACCATTTTAAAAGTTTACCTTTTTTTTTTTATTTGAAAGTTTGATATTATTAATCTTTTTTAGCACATTTTTATTAATTTAGCCAATATTTTAAAACCTAATTTTTTTTATTAATTTTAACTATTAATAAAAAGTTAATATAATTTTTTTTATTGTTGGTTGATATTTACAGTATTTTAAAATATTTTAAGATTACAATCAAAACAACCTGAAATGGTTATTTTTGATATTTTACAATTATTCTTTTTTTCGTTTTAAAATATTTTAATTAGATTTCTATTACAATCAAATAATTATATTTTTTTTTTGATATTTTACTATTATCTTTTTACGTTTTAAAATGTTTTATTAAAATATTTTAATCACTATTACAACCAAATAACCATAAAATATTTTTTTTTTGATATTTTATTATTATCTTTTTACATTTTAAAATATTTTAATTAGATTTCTATTACCATCAAATAACCATAAAATATTCTTTTTAATATTTTACAATTATCTTTTTTACGTTTTAACCTTGATCCACACATTACTCCATAACCTTGATCCCCACGTGTCTCAACTCGGTTATGATCCTCGTGTCTGCTCTGCATACTTGACCCAGTTGCTAATGTAACCTGCACCTTTCTCCTAACTTCAAAACGACTTTGATTGACATGGCTTTGACCCGCGCCTTTCCCCTAACTTCGGCTTTGCTCGACGGCTCCAATTCGGCTTAGTCGACATATTTGGCTCGGTTGGATTTATTTAATGTTTTTGGTCTTGTTCCTAACATTTTGAACCATTTTGAAATTGTGTTTGACGGTTTTGGGATCGATTGAAGTCATTATGACCTCGTATTTGTGAACTTAGGTTACATTTTGGCTAAAAGTTGAACTAGTTGAGATCGTTTCGAACAAGGTTTCGAACAAGGTTTAGGATTACTAAGTGATTTTGGTTCAGACCAACAAAGTAATTGGCTCTACGGTTGGCTTGTTTGGATAAATTTTATTATGTATAATGATGCGTGCCCTATGACCCCAACACTTGTCGTGATTGTTATGCTCTTTTGTATTATGCTATGTCATGTTATGTCATGCTATGCTAAGTTGTCCTATCCCATGTTATGTCATGTAGTACTATGCTATTCCATGTCACATCATGTTATGCTATATTATGCCATATTATGCCAATATGTTATGATTATGATAATTTATGATGCGTAAACCTCCATAAAACATGTCATGTAAGCTATGAGACTTGACATAAATTATGTATGCATAATTCGCAGACTCATTATCCTACATATGAATGGAGGTTTGACTTGCATCATCAGTTTATTTCAATGATTTTAAGCTATGAGTACTTTCATTCTTTTGTCATATGCATTCAGATACTTTCCTGTTATGATTACTACGGACGCATAACATATGATTTAAGACATTTATGTTCGTCATGATGTTATGCGAGTAATTTCCCTCCATGGTATTCGGCAGCCTATCAACAGGTGCTAGCCCGACGAGCCAGACCTAGGGGGTAGCAAGCCCACCTGGTGGGCCCATGTTGGCATGCGTGAGCCATGTGTAAAGAAGTACTACACATTCAATCTTGTCCGAATCGGAAAACTACTTAAGACCATGACATGTCATGATGTCTTTAAAATGATAGGTCTCACCATATTGCATATGCTTGCATTTCCTACCCCGACGATAGAGTTACGAGTATAGTAAAATGGATATTCTTCATACGCATTAATCCCGTCATGCATACAATAATATAAAGTTGATCGTTAAAGTGCTTATAAATAAATCTTGAGATAATCATCCATACGAGTATAGTTCACTTCGGGATAAAGCTTCGAAGCTTCTTCGTCTTCTCGTACTTCAAAATTCGTCATACAACCATCGAAGAATATGTGATAAAAATGTCCCAATCCAGCCCGCTGCCCCAAGTCCAAATCTGCATCAATATTATTCTCTTAATAAATTATATATTTTTTATTTTTTTTTTTAAATAAAAAATAAATAAATCTTTACCTTTCATCCTTGCAAGAAAGTCTTGAGGAGAAACACTCTTCTTTTCTAATACCTTTCCAGAAAGTGCTTCCCATTTCTCAACCATTTCTCTTTGGGAGAGAATGTTGTGTGGAGGCCTAATATACACTGTTTTATTCATAGTTCGAGGGTCGGTTGCTGCCTTCACGACGTACGTTGCAATGTCATCTTCATCCACGTATACCGCTGTAAGTTTTGTCATGAAATTATTTAGATTTAAATAAAGATGTCCACAGAGTGGATTGGGGACGGGATCAATCTCCGTTCTTATATTTCCCACTTATTTTCACGGAGATCGAAACCCTAATTCTCCCCGTAGAAGTTGCAGGGATCAAGGTAGACAGGGCAGGAATGGAAACGGGAAATACCCATTTAGCTAATAGCAAGAAATCTTTTTCTCGTCTCTCTAATTCTCGATTTGCACCGAGATTTTTCACTTCATATATGATGGACCCCGTGAGTTAAATGAACGTCTCTATATTTTAAAAAAAAAACATTACTTATTTTTACGTAAATCGAAATCGAGTTTCTCTCGTGGAATTTCTGGAGATTAGGGTGGGAATAGAGACAAGAAATACGGGTTTAGTTAATGGAGAAAAATCTCTCTCCACTCCCTTCCCATTCTCTGTTTAAACAGAGATTTTCCGCTCCATATATGATGGACCCTGTGAGTTAAATGAACGTCTCTATATTTATACGACGTTAATTTTTAAAAATACGTCATTGACTAAAAGGTTAGAAGTTTGACTACCGACCTCACCGACACCTAATGTTGAAAAATAAAAAGAGTAACGTTCGTTCGAGTTACGATAAGTGAGGTATTGGTTGACAATGATTGATTTAGTATTAAATATAATTGGTAGTGGGTTACCTTTAACGTTGCCATCTCCATAAAGGGTAACTTGATGAGTTGGAGGAACAAGAGTGTGCATCTCAGACAGGCTACCGGCAAAGTAACCGGCAAAGCAGTTGGCTGAGACGTAGGTGAAAGGAATGTTGGCTTCTTCTATTGCTTTTCTTACTATCATTTTTTGATCAAATGTTTCTCTTCCGGGTTCGAGTGCATCTTTCATTCTTGCTGGGTCTATCCCGTACTCTGATGGTAAGAATCTCTGTATAATTTCGAATATAACTTGTTAGTATCAAGAGTTCCGATAAACTAGTCAGTTCGTTTCAGTTAAATTACCGATCATCTTAAAGATAATGCAGTGGAGTCTTGGAAAATTTTATTGGTGTCTCGATCAATCTAAATACAGTTCACAACCCAACTTGTTGAATTGGGTTCACTTGTCGGGTTATTATTATTTTTAATTATTTATGATATATGTTATACCAGAATCTCAAAAAATCAAAACTCATTATTAAAATCTAGAACAAACTTGGATCGAGTTGTAACTTTAACAATCCAAACTTCCGCTAGCAGATATTGTCTGCTTTGGCCCATTACATATCACCATCAACC